TTCTATTATTTTTAATAAAGAAATAATGTCCCGACTAGAATTTAATGGGGGGCATGCCTAATGTTATGTACGGGCCTTGTAAGGTTAATGTTCGGTAAGCCGAAATCACCCTTGCCCTATGAATACCTTACGTTGCCTTAATAGGGCAGTATAAGGTATACCACAATTAAATCTGCCTCATGAATACCTCGTAAGGTCTTCATACAAAAAATTTAAGGCAGTCCGGACGTACATTGAAATAAAATTTTCATTAAGGAAACCTTATGAGGTCCTTATTTGGGAAATGAGGTATTTACCCCGTTAGGTATTTTTGAGTAATTCTTTAAGAAACCCGAATATAAAAAAAAGTATGGCTTATTTTAAGAGCGTATCAATATTTTTAAACTAAAATGTTACATAATATTCAATGATATGTTTTCACATTGTATGTATCATAATATAATATATTATAAATAATATGATAAGGGCAATTATTTTCAATTTTTAAAATCAATATATACATATAAATATATCTATTGAATATCTTAAGGACACATCTTTTGAAAACGTTGAAAATCGAGAGGGGGGGCTTCGCGTCTCCTGTCCCCAAGGTATTCGTAGGGCATATTTTTTTATATATATGTATTGTATACAAAGCAATACAAAGCAATATTTTTACCTGCTCTTGATCTTAAAAATATATACCTGAGTAATTACAACCTCTCATATAAAACATTTTCTCTAACAATGTACTTTCTGAAAAAAACTGCTGTTTCTTTTTTTTGCTGGCATTGGAAAAGTAGAAGATATTATTTAGTGGCGGTTCTAAGCAAAGAAATTTTTGAATTATTAGTATATTTTCAAACATCTACGAGTGTCCATCATTAAACCATGGCTGAAAATAATCTGCAAAGTTTAAAAAAACGTGAATTAGGATGTCTCAGAATGTGATGTTACAGTTGATTTGCCCAATAGTGAGTTGTATAATAATGAAGAAAATGGTAATAGTAACTCTAGCAATTTTCAGTTGATTTCTGAAGAACTGCCAACTCGTGAAAGTCAAGAACAACATATAAATAATAATGGATTAGTTATAGAAAGTGAGGCCGGAGAAAGTTCAGAGCATATGAGCACAAATAGTTCAGAAGAGGAATCTGATTGTAGTGAATTGATAGTGAGTCATAATCTAAACCCAGGTGATGTAGTAGAAAGAGAGGTTGAATATGATTCTGAAATTAATGCAAAAACTTTTTTGCATACAACATCAAATAGCTACGATATTATAAGCTTTCGTAGCACAGATGAATTCGTATATTTCGGAATCACAAATAATATCTTGAAATGTTTAAATCCAGAAATTTATGAAAGTAATGTGATAGAATTATTATTTAATGTTGATGGTTTACCATTATTTAAGTCCAGTAAAATAAGTTTCTGGCTCGGTCATTCGTAAAATGTATAATCGGTCATCCTGGATATGAGTCTTGCGAAAGATGTACAGTGAGAGGACAGCGTTATGTAAATCGTAATATTTCGTTTTTAAGAGACTTTGTGACAATATCACCATTCATATATAGATACGAATTGTGCGCTAACTGAAGTTTCCGGCTATTCTTTTGAAAATGCCTTGGGTAAAATGAAAGAACTGATTCGAAATGGTAACAAACCTCTTTCTCAAATATGTCGACGATTTAATGAAATATCTTGCGTTTGGGAGGAAAAAGCGCAATTACCTCCAGAAAGTGAAATATTAAGAAAATTAGAACCAGATGATACAAGTAAAATGGTAATAAAACGACTACTTTTCTATGGAACAGTTCTCACGACGGGGTCACCTAATAATGTTATTTTATTAGATCACAATAGAGTTTTGGAGATAGGCGGAATATAAATGTATGGAGAAAATTTAAATTCAATAAAATTATCAGGCAATAGTTTAAGAAAAACTAGATCATTGTACCTATATCTTTGTGATTCTAGTATTTTACAAATGTGGAAAGTTAGTAGAAGACATACGGATGTAAAAATTCTCAAAATAGGCGATATTAAAAAAAAAAATGGTCATTCTTGATTTGAGTGATGAAGAGCACGAAAGAGTTTATGTTATGCCACTACTTCATACGATACCAGCGAATCGGACGACCAAAAAATTATACCCAAGAAAAAAAGATGTCCTACAAGAATTATTAACAGTTTTGGAAGTGATCGAAATAAAGACCAGCATGTACAAGTATTTGAACCACGTCATACATCAGAAAATGCTACAATTACAACAAATATTTTTGAAAATCGATCAAGCCCGTCACCTGATAATCAAACAGCATCATCAGAACCAAATCACTTACAAAATCATACTGCAGATTCTACTGAAATTAATCTACTCAATCATCAATATGAACAAAGTAGAAACAATTACATAGAAAATTGATTTTATAATTGTAAGTTTAGAAATTGCATTTCGAGTTTAAAATTTTAAACGATTTTTATTTATCCGTAGTTGATTCCTTTGTCACATTATTGAAACACTTCCATTCATTATCAAAGCAAGTTGGTCAACTTACTGGTGAAATTGTTGAAGTTAAAATTCTTTTAAAAAATATAGAAGATAATCAAATGAAGATAATGGGAAGGTACCAATGGTAACTGGTGATGAAGATGTCGATATAGACGTATTCGATGGAGATGAAGGTATGAAGTTCCCATGCCAAACCAAAGAAGATTTCAAACTATTTGACGAAAAAATAGAAACAGACCGATAGTTTCGACAAAAAATCGTAAAATAATTTATTGTTAAATAATATTCCTGTAAAAAGCATAAATTGAAATGAATATTTATAGAAAATTATTTACTTTGTAGGCAACGAAAGTGGCCCGAATCATTAATAAAAGACATAAGCTTCCACATAATGTTGGTGAGATTTGACGCTTTTTCTTATCACGGGATGTCGCTATACAAATTAGTCCAAGGAAAGCAACGAAAACCAAAGATTTGGTGTTTGACAAAACGTCCCTTCATAACGTCATTACAGGTATACTTAACGTTGGCTTATTCTTAATTCCGAATAAATGTAATAAAAAAAATTGATTCAAAAAACAACAATATAATAAAATGAATTTTTTTGCAGAAATGTCAACAGCAAAACTATCAACAGAAAAACCGCTGGAAGAAGATGACATTAAAGCTGCTATATCCTCTGTACTGCACAATAGCAAGGACTAGGAAGGTCCTTGCTATTGTGCAGTACACTTCTTTTAGGCAAATATTTGACCCAAAAAATTAAAAAAAATATGAAATTGATATAATAAATGAATATATTATTTACTATAATGAAGAAATTTTTTATACATAAATAAAAAAACAAATTTTTATAAATAAATGAAAAAATTAACAACTTTAAGAAATTGATGGTTTTGTAGGTTTTTTTGTTTATCAAATAATTAATAAAATAATATTGAACAAGAAAACTACAATTTTTTTTATCGAAAATACGATTTTTACATTCCGATAGTTGTGTCTTTTTCTAGCGCGTGGTGCCGCCTATAGTGCTGTCTCGCTTAGATACACGGGACCACTAAAATGCGAAAAAATCATATAAAAAAAAATCAGCGCACTTTCGTTTTTGGGCACATTTTTTTACAGGTTATTACGGATATTTTGGCATTATAAAATTGAAAATTGCCCTTTGTACAAAAATTTTCAAGACAAATGGAGTCAAGCCTCCTATATTGACTGGACTAATAGATATTAAGCGTCACGCATTATATCTGGCCCTGATGAGGTTTCCATATTAGGGCCAAATAGTCGAATTAGGCTAACCTTATCCGGACCGTATCAAAAAATTCTAGTCGGGGTATATCCGCAAGTTTTACAAGTATGTGAATGGAGGTATTATTAATCATTTTCTGTGTTGTTTTTCACGTATAAGGTATTTTTGAAAAATTTCGATTAGAAATATGTGAAAATTAAAAATCACCTTTCTAGGGTGACAACTTTGGGAGTGATTTTCTCCCCTCTAAAACGTTTGTCAACATTTATCGATCTAAATGGAAAACGAGAATTTTAACAGGAAAAGCTGAGGAATTTTTTGTTTCGTAAGAATGATTAATAAGAGAAGACTCTATTTAAAGGGGATTAAGATTATATTTCTATTGAAAAAACGATATTCCTGTAGGAAAGATACAAAAGGACTAAAGATAAATAAATGTGAAAGTGAAACTTAGGCAATCTTTTTTTCTAAAAATCATTTCCAATAGAATCTGTTTCAATTCTTTAGGAAATGAGTAATTTAAAAAGGACAAAAGTACATCAAAACTTTTTCATTATCACAGTATTTTTAATAGGATTTCATAGTATTCTATTGGAAACATGTCAAATATTTCAACATGAAATTGGTAATTTTTAAAGAAAAAAGGATTATTTGTTGTTCTTTCTTTCGTTACAGTATTCTTCAATAGGATTTCATCCATTTCCATAGGACAACGGTAGTCGAGTTTTAATGGGAAATAGACTTTTTCTACCAGAAAAGTACTACTAAGAAATTTGTATTCCACTAAAGTATTTTGATTGAACTGTCCTATTGAAATATGTAGAGTTCTATAGACTTGTTAGAAGAATTTAAATAGGTTCAGCCAGAGAAGTATTTGTTTTTTAAAGAAGTCTTAACTTTATAAACTTTAAAAAGCTATAGGAAATTCTGAGACAACAGTATTCCCATTGAATACTATTGAATTTTATCGATAAATTGAATAGGATTCAGCATACCTCAATGGGAACACTGAATAGGATTCAGGAGATCTCTGGAGAAGAAAGAACCTTCAATAGAAGTCAATAGCAAATTTCCGATGCAATTTTTTTATTGAACTTTCTTCTCCTAATAGGATTATTTAAACAGGGATGCCTTAGTAAAAAATCCTTTATTACGCCTTCTCACTTAAAAATATAATATTATGTATTTGCTTCTAGTATGTGTGTGTTAGAGTCTTAAATACGTATTTTTACTACATAGTAATTCGTTTTTTAGGGAGGATTCAAAAATTTCATTCATCAAGTAAAAGACAAAATAATCGATGCTGGGGGAGTAATTAGGTGTTCAACAACAGTCCAATCTATAAAAATAGATTATTCGAAGATTTGCGTTTCAACAAGTTCAAAAAATTATAGGTAACTTTTTTTCATTTTGTCAATAATTAAGAATAATGACCTGTATTTATCTTTAGTATCGATAGTTGTAAAGACACATTACAGAATTACACATAATTATGTTTATTTGTATTTCGAAATATCTTTAGTAACCAATGCTTATGTATCAAGAGACATCTATTGATACCGTGTAGACGGTAGTGTCTTATGCGCCAAGCATAAATTACTGCCATTTACCTTTAAGCCATGACGAGGCACTACCATGTTCCTACTGGGTGAATTTGTACTTGTAGTCGATCCTGACACTCGAGGTGAAGAATTAAATTCTGAAGGAAATAAGTACACGGATATGGGTAAACCGGATTCGCAATTTTGTATAATTCTCAAATAAAAATTGATTGAAATGGTTCGATGTACATGAGAATTTTCACTATGAGCGATCGTCACGACACCTATAATTGTCAAAAACGCAGTTTGAAGTGACGTTGACTTAGCGACAGGAACGGCCCTATTACGCAATTCGAGACATATATGTCAAAAATAACAATTCCGCAAAGTAGGATAAAGAACTGAAATAAATAAATGAAAAACAATCGACAATTAATATATGCATGTTTAATTTTAGAAAAAAATTCGTCTACATTATGAAAATTGAGCGTACTATAAATATTTCATACATAGAAAATATTATCAGTACTATAAAAATATGGTGCTCTTTAAAAATCCCATTATGGAAACCGAACGTTTTGAGAATTTATTGAATGGTGATAAACTTTTACTCTTACGTACGTATAGATAACGGTATACGAAATAAATTTTTGAAATCGTCTCAAATATTTGATGGCAGATCAAACATTTTGGGATGAAATCTGGATGATTCATTTTGTGCAGTCAGGTCGCCTTTGATTCTTTACAAAGACTAAGTCGACCGTAAGTGATAAATGCCCAGCGAGCATCTTGCTATTTACAAACGCAGCATAGGTAATAGACGTCCCCTTCATTACCGTTATCTATAATTACCATATCTGCTTCTAGAACATAGTAAAATTGACTGCTAGCTTCAAAGTTCAGAAGGCATTCTTTGAATAGATTTTTAAACATTAATTACTTAAATAAAATTATTATAGTAAAAATTATGAATAAGAAAAATGATATGTTTTGTGACTTAGCGAGAAGTTTAGGGGGCTCGTCATCTCCGTTGTTTATATTATCTAACTGGTAAACTTCATGACATTTTTTTTAAAACAATTCCACTCATTATTATTAATCACGATAATCACAGACACAATATGTATCAACTATGTTTTTCAGTATACAAAATGGTTCCGGTTCTATAACTGGACGATGATTGTGTGGACTAACTCTTACAATTCGTACACCATTCAGTACCCAAACTAGCGCCTCACAATTATCAGTATTACACTGATATTTTTTTAATGTCACCTCGTTGTACGAATAATCCCTTGTAAATATATAACTGCAGTAAAGGACATAATTGTCATCAATCACTGGCTGTAAAGCCGTATAAATGTCAAATATTAGACGCTTACTTATTAAACTGAAAACGTTAACTGAGGATTCTCGAAGAATTGTGATCCTTTATTGCGCTTTGAAATAGTTATCTCAAACACGAAAGGAAAAAGTGGGGATGTCTTCATTAAAAGTTTTTTGGGATCACTTTCTTTTACTTGTGTATAATATTAGACAAAAGACTACGACGCTAGTGAAGTGTTTTGTTTACTCAGATTAAAATTTTGTAACTTGAGAAGTTCTTGGAAAATAACATGAATACTAATAAACAAGTAATAAAAGTTAATGTTGCTTTCAATTGGTGTTTCGCTTTTTGATCATGGAAATCATAGTAAACATTGATTAGAGAACTGATTAAACATTATTAGAGAAATTTAGATAATAAGCCTTCCTGAATTCACGACATCCAGACGTGAGAAAAATTATCGCAGTGACCAGAAGACTTCATGAAACATACTTCACTATATCGGGGATAAAATGTTAAGAATGATAAAAAAAACCCGAACATCTCCACAAGAAGACTGGCACAAACATTTCAAGTGTTCCTAACGATAATACGATATATTTTTATGGAAGATATCTTCCATATAGTCTAAAAGCCTGTTATACAACTCCAGTGTATCATCTGAACATTAATAATTATGATTAGAGCTGAAATTTTTGTGTATTTATGACAAGCATAATTTCCTTAGAAGATAATTATAAACAATTCATTTTATTTACCGATAAGTGCAACGCTCTATTTCGCATACGAACAACTTCCAAACTTCACACAGTTTTCTCATTTTCAATGTCTTAAAATCTCATTATGACATTAATGTGGAAACTTGGTAGTTTTTCATTTTTGTCTTCAATTCACCCCTAAAATCGCCACATACAGCACACACCCGAACAACTCCGCTGTATTGCGTGCCTGTCGCTACACGCGGTCAGAGATAATTGTCGTGATTCTATTACGCAGACGACTCGTTTTTAGTGAATTAACTAAACATTTAATGGACAACTCACAAACAATTAGTGATTAAGTATATATTGTAAAATAATAGAATGAGAACAACTATTATTAAAAGTTAGTTTATTTAAAGTGACAAATTCAAATACAGAATCAAAGACAAGACATCAAAAGTGAGCTAGTCTCAGTCCTAAACTGGAGATAAACAACTCTCCCCTCGTTGCTATAAACAATCTAATCGTCAAGCAATCGTCGTTACCTAACAAACTGTTGTCAGTCAATCAATCCATCGATGGAGACATTCATACATTTTACACTTCTCCCGATCTTCTAAAAATTGCCACCTGGCAATTCCTATTAGTTGGGTAAAAATATTGGATTAGGCTGAAATAAATAACATGAAAAATCTAAAATTTAATTTCTAATTCGAAATTATGAAAATCAAATTAATAATCATTCAGCTTAGATTCCAATATTGCTGCTTCCCAACTCTGCCTGCTTAAAAATGAATAAAACAAATTATTCTGGAGGGAAAAATCCTGCGGTGGGTAAAAACCTCCAAAACATGCCAAAATGATCTAAATTAACTAATAACGTGACTCTATACAATTTAGAGAAAATCGTAAACACTAAGAATTCATCAGTCAAAATTGAAAACTTTAAAAATTCTTCTTTCCTTCCTTCTTTTCTATAGAAAAGAATCCGGGAAGTAAAGAATGAAAATCCACAAGAGCTGGAAATGCTAAGAATCTGGGAGGTCAAAACAAGGGAAATCTGGACAGATTCTAAAAATTACTGCAGCATCAAAGTTAAAAAAAAATTTTCAGTTTGAATTCGAATTCCTTTCTTTATTTTATTGAATGGTCTCACCTTTTCGAGAACATTTCTTCAAATTAATAACCGACTCCGCATCCTATTCATAAAATCAGACTCTTAAAATCACAAAAATAATAATCACAAATGATCCACCTTGCAAGGAATTTTCAAAAATATAAGTTTAATAGTTTAAACCAACTATTAGAACTTTATAGGATACCATGGACACTTAGTGCCTAACTTAACTTCATTTTGGCCATTAATGAAGAAAAGGTTAACAACACAAACGCTCCAACCGTGTATATCCTATAGTAACTCCTCGAGAACGCTCCAGGACAGACATTGCGAGTTTAAATCAAAAATCAAATGATCAATGAGAGCCAACGTTCTCAGACTGGAAGTTACAAAGACCCTGAATTCAGAAGAAATTGAGAATCCAGAAAGAGTCAACAATTAATCATCAACATCACAAGGAGCGACTCTATTCATGTGAACCACTTTTCAACGACTATTCGGAATTTTCTGAATTCTAAAAACAACATCATTCAATTTGTTTTTAATAATATATGGACCTTCCCAATCTGATTGAAGTTTAGGGCATTTCCCTTTAACTCTTTCCGGAAAATAAAACCAAACCTTTTGGCCAACGTCAAAAGACAAAATATTAGATTTTAAATCATAATTAGATTTAAGTTTTTCTGATTCAATTTCTAAATTACGTCGCACATAATCATGAGTGACTTGTAATTTTTACGAAGATCAAAAACATATTCACCTATAGAATTGTCCTCAGAAATATTTTCTGAAGGAGAAATTCCACGAAGAAAATCTAAAGGCAACCTCAATTCACGACCTAACATTAATAATGCTGGAGAAAATTCTGTAGTCTCATGTCTAGAAGAACGATAAGTTAACAAAAATAGAGAAATTCACCGATCCTAATCTTTTTGATTTTTATCAATAAATTTTGATAAATATTAAAGAATAGTCCTATGCAACCTTTCAACTAAACCATTAGATTGAGGATGAAGAGGTGTAGTTTTAGTCTTTTTAATTCCAAAAAGATTCATGAACTCTTTGAAGATTTCTGATTCAAACTCTCTACCTTGATCGGAATGAATCTCTGAAGGGACACCATATCTACAAAATATTTGAGAAACTAAAGCTTCAGCAGTAGTAGAAGCCTGATGATTAGGAAGAGGAATTGCTTTTGGCCATCTAATGGAATAATCAGTAATAACTAAAAGGAATTTAGCGGTGATTGTCACTTGTCTCCAAAGTATTAGACTGACGACACCAACGAGAGTTGTAGTTCACGGTGTAAATTACAGAGTTGAAGCTCTGGCTGCGAGGTTGTAGCCTTTTAGTTCCCTGGAGAGTTGAAGCTTTCCTACCTTGTTGGAAAAGTGTTAAAAAAGCAGAAAAATGAAGTCTATGTTAAATATTTATGATTTGATAAATCACATAACAGTTAGATAGATATAGAAAATTTTTTATTTCATTTGTTTTAATTAAGGATCTAAATTATAAGTTCTCACGTCATGTTTTAGAATTAAAGTGAGATCATACTTTAAGTGCACGCTCATAATCTTCATCGGTCATATTTGAATCATTTAAAGAAGAAAAAAGGTAATTGCTTTTCTTCAAGTTTTCCCCAGTTATTACAATATTCATACGAAAGTACACCTTTGCATACTGTTAATTTGAATGATTCTCCATCGGG